TCCGTGAGGGCTAATCGTGCCGAGAAGTCAGACACCATGTCCTCCATTGAAAACTTCTCTAATCTGAAAAACCTTCTGAACCACTTCCCCACGATCGCCGCTGCAACTCGTACTTTTCTGAAAAGCATATAGAAACAAACAGCCACACCAACAAACCTGATAGTTGAAAATCTCACCGCCGTCTACTGATAGTTGAGAATCTCACCGCCGTCTACTATTAGTTGTAAAATAAATTCTTGCCGTGCGACGCGCACTAAGTTCTCTTTTAGGACACCCTAGAGAGCATTATTCTAAATTAATATCATTTGTTTAGTATTGGTAAATTCACTAATTAGGAGTCGCCAATGAAAGAGTTGCGGGAATGTTTCTTCTCTAATTTTAACAATATATCAACACTCATTAATATTTTACTTGTTTTGAAGTAAAAGAATTCATACTTCACCAACCCAACAATATTAACCTCAAATTTCGACCTGAACTTTACAAGTTTCAATTTGCCTGCTGAATAAAATAATTTAAAGCAGTGTGTAACACAAGTTACTAATTAGTTGCAATTTACCATATACCATTAACTCAGTTAAATTTCGTGTAAAAAGAAAATGAAACATGAGTTGTACACATTATCCCATAGGTAATAAAATTTCAATTGCAACTTAGGTAAGAGTTCATGTTGCAATTCAAAATATAGTTGTGAAAAAATTGAAAGCTTTGATTATCCTTTTTTTCGTTAACAGATTAATAATAAGAATTGTCAGTTGTATTTACATAACTAATTATTAGTTATTAATGCAATGAATCTCACAATACATCAACAGATAAATAACTATCGCATGCATGAGTGCGACTCTATATTGCTACCACAACACCAGCTATTATTACCAAGTAAAAAAATCTGCATGTACCTCTCATCCAATTAATGTCTAAACTTTTCTTAGCAATAAAATTAGTGTTACGTTTTAGTATGAATAATGAGCATCAAACTGTCGAGATACGCCCTTGGATTGTAGGAATCTGTAACTACCTTCTTTTATAGGTGGTTAAAATCTAATTCGTTACTTTATGAGGGTAATAATTAATAAATAATAAAATAAATAACAAAAGAATATCAGCGGATGAAACCCTGGAGAAATGACGTTCTGGTGATAAGTGCATTTCTGTAATTCAAAAAAACCTCCTGGCGTTTGATTCACCTCGAATCTGCTGCAGCCGTTAGATTCTGTACACGTGGCGCAAGCGAACAGGCGGATTCCATTTATCTGCGAATATTCCGTGGTAAATTTCGGTATATTTTCGCCTATTAAAATCCCACCCAACCCGACAAATTCTTTCCCTTGGACTCCTCAAATCAAACCCGTTACTATTTACTAATGACCGAGGCACTGAAGCGGGACTACCAGCTGTGCGAGGAGATCGGCCGCGGACGGTTCGGCGTCGTTTTCAAAGCGATCCGAAACGGCGACACTTTCGCCGTCAAATCGATCCACAAGCGAATCGCCGACTCTGGCGACTCGCTCGACGCCCAATGCCTCTTGACGGAGCCCAAGATTCTGAAGCTCCTGGGTTCGCACCCGAATGTTGTCAACCTCCACGACCTCTACGAGGACGACGACCACCTCCACATGGTCCTCGACCTCTGCGACGCGCCCGATCTCTACCGTCGAGTCACTCTCCGGGTCTTCTCCGAGTCCGAGGCCGCCTCGGTCATGACTCAGCTCATGCACGCCGTCGCGCACTGCCACAGCCTCGGCGTCGCTCATCGTGACATCAAGCCGGACAACATCCTCTTCGACGGCCAGGAACGGCTCCGGCTCGCCGATTTCGGATCGGCCGAGAATTTCAGCGAGGGAGAGAAGATGAGCGGCGTTGTCGGAACGCCGTACTACGTGGCGCCGGAGGTGGTGGCGGGAAGGGAGTACGGTGAGAAAGTCGACGTCTGGAGCTGCGGTGTCGTTTTGTACGTAATGCTGGCTGGATTCCCGCCGTTTTACGGCGAAACGGCGGCGGAGATCTTCGATGCGGTGCTAAGAGCGAATTTGAGATTTCCGGCCAGGGTTTTTAACTCCGTGTCGGCCGCCCTTAAGGATTTGCTGCGGCGCATGCTGTGTAAGGACGTTTCTAGAAGGTTCTCGGCTGAGCAAGTCCTCAGTAAGTTGTCTAAGCTGTCCATTTTTGTTTGATTAGTTTCAGATGATCATCCGTTTGGATTGTTTAGTGGAAAATGGAAAATGGGAATACTGATTTTGGGCTGTTTGGGTACAGGGCATCCATGGATTACAAGTGGGGGAGGACTAGGAGCGGGCCAGAGCTGTGGGCCTGTGGCTGATTAAGCGGGAATGGCTATGGATTAAGATGGTTAATTAAGCCGGGTTATGGATAATTAGAAATTAAGAGAAAGATTATATGGATGTTTTGTAAAGCTACGGGCACTAGTAGTAGCTACTGTAAATATATATGATATCTGATGACGATGATGGTGTCGGAAGAAAGGAGAAGAAAAAGAAAAAAAATAGAGCGACCGTTTTATCTGCGCTTTGAAAATGGTCGGAGTATTTTCATTTCTTTTGTTTTCTGTTGAATTTATTATAATATGGTTGGACTATGTGTAATGAGAGCTTCGGAGTTTCCTATGATTGTTGCTTATATGTGAATTTTTCGTTCTGTGTAATGCAAAGTGGTTAAAATCATTTACTAAAATCTTCGATTCAATGTTACTTAGTATTACGATTTATTGGTATTTCTCTGTACTTGTAAGTGAGAGGTTTTATGTTCGATTCTCACTAAAGACGAATTTGAATTGAATTATTGCTAACATATTGTGAGGTTAAGCTCACTCCCTCCTTATTAGTTCGATTCTCACCAAAGACGAATTATTTTTACGTTAAAGGATAGACATCCTTCTTAAGGCTCTGTAATGCATTTACGTGATCAAAAACATTTAGATTAAAGGTTACTCTAGCAAAAAATCCATCCAAATTTAAAAGTGTATGATCATCTAAAATGAACAAAAAAAATGATGGTTCATTAGTAAAGTTACAATGAAAATGCAAGCAGTTAAACATGTAAGCAATTGTCGATTTAGTCAATTTTAGAATGAATAATCATTGAAAGAGAACTTGAAACTTAAATGTTTTCGACCGTATCACTCATCGAAATAAGATGTCCTCAAATTTAAAAAATTGATCAGAGCAGTACACCCAAAGTTCAAATTCATTTGGCCAAAATATGATAGTATATACGTAAAACCTTTTTTGTGTACTTGTTGGGTTCCAACTTACAAGATTAGAAGCTAGAATTATTTAACAGATAAGGTAAGATATGAGTAATATGTCTCTCTATCCCAATTAAAAGGGAAAGTCTTTACTCTTAAAAACAATTTGAAGTGACATACAACAGTAATTTTTCGATCAATGGATTTGCTATACTACTATAGCTAATATAGCTGTTGCGTGCAAGTAGAAACCACGTTCAATCTGGATAATGTTCCTTTTTTCTAACAAGAAACTCTTTCAGTGTGAAGAATGAAGGTCCCCGTAAAGTTAAGTAGTTAAGAACAATTACTTTTGACTAAAAATTTTTGTGTTTGAGTCATCCCTCCAAAATGTGTCCTTATTTGGACTCCATTTTAAGCAGCTTGATAGTTGATAGAATGGTAGCCAAATAACTTAGGTAAAATGAGTTTATTGTTACCATAATGTTTGATCCAATAATGTATTATAATATTGATAAAAACTTGCACATAACATTATTAATCCTGAGTTTAGAATGCCACATGATGGTAAATGCGTTGTACGTATGTTACTATCCCTAACTAGCTAGCTTCCGTTCCTCCATTTGATTACGTGGATGAAGTTTTTTATTTTTTATTTTTCATAGAAGCGATAAGAGTGTTTCATTATTAAGAACAATCAAATACAAGAGGTGCCAGATGAGTACAATTTTTTCAGCGATCAATTTCTTGATTTGTAAATAGTTCGCACAGGATGCAAAGATTTTAAACCTTATACGGTTACCACAATAGACCAACACAAACAGGAGTCCCGTGTAAAACTGTCACAAAGACGATAGACGCGACAATTCTAACACTGGTACCCTGACATAAAGTCATCGACAATGAAGGTACATAAACCACATAAGCGACACAAACAAATCACATGAGCAGTACAAAATCGATTACGTGGATGAAGTTGACATAAAAAGGATGGGAAAGGGATCCTCTCCGGATCCTTCCTCTTAATTCACCAAGTCAAAGGATCTGGACTATTGAAATTTGATCCAACGGCTACAAACAGGGGTCCACTTTAAAAGTTATAATAACTTTAGTTATTGGATCAAATTCAATAGACCGAATCCCCAAACATGATGAATTAAGTGAAAGAGATCTGGAAATGATCCCTTTCCAAAAAGATGTTCCCCCCCTCGCTCCTAGCTTATGCATGCATAATGATTGCGTGGTGCTAAACAGATGGGCCACCAACCATTCCCATTTCCCATTCTTTGTGAAGGTGGTGGGGTAACCATACTACCCTTTAATCTCCGTACTCCATCCGTAGTTATAATCAGAGTGAACTGTACTTTGGCTACTGCAAAATATTCATCTGTGATAAGTTATCTTCGGATGCTTTAGTACATTTGTATGTACCTTGTACTATTGGTTTTGACTAAGGTAAAATAGATGGTTACGTTTTTGGGCGCAAGAACACCAGAATTAAAAATACTTCAAGGGCAACTTTTTTACGAGGTGGTAAGATGAGTAACATACACTAGCATATGGTAGAGCACATGTAAAGAAATGACAAGATAATATTATGACATTTTTAGTTTTTTTTTTTCCTTCTAATTTTTAGGATAACCATTATTATTACTATTAGGATGCGGTTGTTCCATCGGATTATATCGGATTAAACTAACTTTAAGGACTAAACTAAACTGACTTAGAATAGACTAACTTTGACTAATATAATAAAACATTTGATGCAATGTCTGTCTAAAAAACATAATAATTAACAAAAGACAAAAAATGTAATTTTATTTTTATTATTAGTTTTTGCTTCTGAAGCTACTGCTTTTGAGTCAACATAATAAAAAAAGTGAGGATAAATGAAAAATCAATTACTTTGCTTGTACATAAACTTGCAAGTTTAACCAATTGTTTAATCCAAAATCTCTAAACACAAAATACCCAATTAATGGAGCAAACACCATGAATAACAAAAAAACACACAGACTATTCCCACTGAAAGATTCTTGCACCATTTTTTTCTTCAGACTAATCCCACCAGACTTCAAATACCAAACTGATAATTCCAAAGTTAAAACTCCATTTTTTTTCTCTACTACTTCGAGAAGCTGCAGACAAAAAGGAACAATAATTCAATTTAATATCCAATAGATTTAGTATCCACTAATTAGGAGAGAAATCTCCACTAAATCTGCAGCAAATTGAAACTTTGAAATATTAAAACTTCATAGTAACGGGACTGCGAATAATTCAACTTTCTCAGCCCGCAAATTGCTGCAGATTCTCAACCCGCAATTTGGAACTTTGAAATTGTTTTGAATCAGGAAAAGAAGAGGAGGAAGAGAGTACCTTGAGTCGTTACCTGTGAGAGGAAGAGAGGCTGGATTACAGCAAGAGAGAAGCCTGAGTCGCCGCCGTCGATCGATTCCTCTAAAACAACCCATCAATCCTCAGCATCCCCTCCACAGAAGGATGAGATTGATTTGATGATGTAGTCATCGATATGCTATTGCTGCTGCTATTGATTTGCAAGGGATGAGATCCATGGGTCTGAAAGAAGAAAGAGCGAGATCGATGAAGCTCGCAGAGGATTAGAGGGGCGAATGAAGCTGGTCTTAGCAGTCCGGCTGTTTTTGAAGAGTTCACTAGTGAAGGCTTTAGTGAACGCGAGTCCCTCCTAGTCCCACTAATGCTAATCTCTGCTGCTAACAAACATGCTAATCCCTGCTACTAACAAACATAGAATTAGACTAGATGTTAGTCTACTCCAATCCAATGAGGGCTAAGGAGGGCAAACAATACACGCCCTTAAAGTTATAGGTTAGAGTCCCATGTAGGGATAATGGTTCTAACCATTAAACTTGATAACCGTAAATAATCGTCCAAATGGAACAAACTTGGGTTAAGTTGGGTATATTTTGGATAAGAAAAAAATGTTAATATTATCTTCTTGTGGTTTTGGACATAGTTATGGGGTCCTTGATCCGTATCCATACCAGAATCCGACCCCGAATATAAATAATATAATTGTTGTATAGTATAATAGTGTGTGTGTATATATACATATATATATATATATATATGTATGCAAGTGGGCCTTTATCATAGTGGTGGAAAGGAGTTGAGCATTCGCATCACAGCGTGAGTTCAAATCTCGTCGATGGCTAATCTAACATCTAATTTAACAAAATCTATCGTCCCAATGAGTATGGTTAAGGATAATCCCTAATGGTTAATTTGCAATTATGAATATGATTAATTTCCGTGGTTATAGGAATGAATATAGAATTTTCATTCCCAAACTGAAACGTTGCCATCTTTAGTTCCATTAATGACAAGTTCAATACTAATTTATGATGGCTTAGTCAACTCCCTCACTCTTAATGTAAAATATTAATGTGCATAAAAAAAAAAAACAAAAACCAAAAAAAAAAAAAAAAAAAAAACCAAAAACTAAAGATGACATAAACAAAATCGTTAAGACTAGGCCTGGCAAATGGATCGTGTTTGTCTTGTTTGTATCGTTTTTGTGTAACACTTATTATCTTAACGGGTAGTATTGTGCTAGACCCGTTATCTTAACAGGTCCTTAACAAGTGGGGCGGGTAAAGTGACCCAACCCATTATGACCATTTAAGAAAAATATTTTTTTTTCCTTAAATTTGCACATATCACACATTGCCACATAAATATTACTTCAAAACATTAAAAAACATTTGTCGTTTAAATACTACATCTATACTCGAAAATAAGAGCCTAAGAAACAAACATTCATACACTACTAGTATATTACAAAATATTAAATGTGCAAGGATATGCAAAATGAAAGAGTTTTCATTTTCAAGGTTGTGAAGCCTTTCTCAAAAGTTTAAACCTTGCCAATGGAACTCAAAGCTTCCATGTTATTCCTTTTACAAAATCCTCAATTTTCATCGATCGTCATGACATAAGATTTTGTAGTATCCACTAGTGTAAATATTTTATATTGAAGATCGAATGCATTCATTGTATTCATATAGGGTCAAGGACTGTAGCTATAAAAAAATCATCAAAATTGGAGTTAAAATAACCGTTAAATAGTGATTTTTCGTTGATAATCGCCGAAAAGTTTTGTCCCGTTACTTGATCTCTAAATGCTTATTTTTTGCAATTTTTGACGTATGTGATCTCGAAGTATTTGCAAATATGTTTGACAGTTGGATCGTTGAAACTAATTTCTTAGAATGCGTATCCCATCAAAACAATAGATTCACTAACACTTAAGAGTTTATTCAGACTTTCATTAAGTATAACATAAGATTTTGTGGTATCCACTGGTGTAAATATTTTAAATTGAAGATCGAGTTCATTCATTGTATTTATATAGGGTCAAGGAGTGTAGCTGTAAAAAATCATCAAAATTGGAGTTAAAATAACAGTTAAATCGTGATTTTTCGTTGATAACCGTTGAAAAATTTTGTCCCGTTACTTGATCTCTAAATGTTTTTTTTTTGCGATTTTTACCATATGCGATTTTGAAGTATATACAAACAAGTTTGACAGTTGCATCGTTGAAATTAGTTTCGTAGAATGCGTATTCCATCAAAACGATAGATTCACTAACACTTAAAAGTTTATTCATACTTTCATTAAGTATAACATAAGATTTTGTGGTATCCTCTAGTGTAAATATTTTAAATTGAAGTTCGAGTTCATTCATTGTATTCATATAGGATCAAGGAGTGTAGCTGTAAAAAATCATCAAAATCGAAGTTAAAATAACCGTTAAATCGTGATTTTTCATTGATAACAGTCGAAAAATTTTGTCTTGTTACTTGATGTCTGAATGTTTGTTTTTTGCAATTTTTGATGTATGTGATATCAAAGTATATAAAAACATGTTTGACGGTTGGATCGTTGAAACTAGTTTCGTAGAATGCGTATCCGATCAAAACAATAGACTCACTAACATATAAGAGTTTATTTATACTTTTATTATGTATAACATAAGATTTTGTGGTATCAACTAGTGTAAATATTTTAAATTGAAGATCAAGTTCATTCATTGTATTTGTATAAGGTCAAGGAGTGTAGATGTAAAAAATCATCAAAATCGAAGTTAAAACAACCGTTAAATTGTGATTTTTCGTTGATAACCATCGAAAAATTTTGTTCCGTTACATGATCTCTGAATGTTTGTTTTTTGCGATTTTTGGCGTATGCAATCTTGAAGCATATATAAACAAGTTTGATGGTTGGATTGTTGAAATTAGTTTCGTAGAATGCATATCACATCAAAACGATACATTCACTAACACTTAGAGTTTATTTATCCTTTCATTAAGTATAATACAAGATTTTGTGGTATCCACTAGAGTAAATATTTTAAATTGAAGATCGAATTCATTCATTGTATTCATATCCATAAAAAATCATCAAAATCGGAGTTACTATTAAATCATGATTTTTTGTTTACAACCGTCGAAAAGTTTTGTCCCGCTACTTGATCTCTGAATGTTTGTTTTTTGCATTTTTTGGCGTATATGATTTTGAAGTATATACAAACATGTTTGACAGTTGGATCGTTGAAAATAGTTTCGTAATATCCGTATCCCATCAAAACAATAGATTCACTAAAACTTAAGAGTTTATTCATACTTTCATTAAGTATAACATAAGATTTTGTGATATCCACTAGTGTAAATATTTTAAATTGAAAATCGAGTTATTCATTGTATTCATATAGGGTCAAGGAGTGTAGCTGTAAAAAATCATCAAAATTGGTGTTAAAATAACCGTTAAATCGTGATTTTTTGTTGATAACAGTCGAAATTTTTTGTCTCATTACTTTATCTTTGAACATTTGTTTTTTGCGATTTTTTGCTGATGCGATCCCGAAACACATACAAACAAGTTCGACGGTTGGATCGTTGAAATTAATTTCGTAGAATTCGTATCCCATCAAGTTCAATGGTATATATATATATATATATATATTTATTAAGTAGATTTAAATTTATTTATTTTATACTGTTGACCTTATAAATTATAAAAACCTACGTGGTGCGCAGGCCGAGTAACTAATAAGTTAACTACGTCCTTCGGTTGAACGCGGGGCATGCCAACTAGTCGGCCGAGCTCTGTCGAGGAGTAAAATTCGTTGATGTCGCGTTGAGCGCGTTGTTGACTTCTTTATCTTGTGACTGCGACCGAGGAAGAAACACTCTCGGTCCTTGGGTTCTAGAGCCTGAAGACAAGGTTGCTAGTTCTGCGAAGTTCATAAATCGTCGGCACCCGATTCGGTCACTGTGATTATATTCGTAAGAGTATAAGCACGTCGAATCGACAACAGACTATACGGATACAAGTACTCAAAGATGATGTATGTCTTGATGGTGAACGTAGTTCGACCGTCAGAATGCTGAACTCTGAAACTCACTTGTGAATATCCAATCATAAAATCACTTGTCGTCCAATACGCCAAATAACGAAATCATAATACCTTACTACGCCAAGAGGGCTAACAAGGTGACCTCTGCCAACAAGGATTCGAAAACCCTTCTTGCCCGAGACTTGGATAGGTAACCAGTCGGTCTCGACGCAGTGCTGTTTATCCAAACTGAAGGTGCTTCTCGGTCGGCTGATTCTACGGCAACAATGCTGTTTATCTAAACTGAAGGTGTTCGCCGGGTGCCTCCACAGTGCTGTTTATCCAAACTGAAGATGTGTTGGCGGACAAAGAAAAGAAAAAATCTCAAGATGTTTGAGAAGCTTTGCGCAGGGCAATTGTATGTTGAATTCATGGTCCCTTTTTTGTTGCATGATTTCTTGTATTTATAGCCCCCATTCCTTGAGACTGAATCGCGCCCCTAACTGGATTGGGAGTCCTTGTTCCGTTCCAACTTTACCTCGAACAAACCTACTCCTATTAGGACTTTAAATTTTCCCCTCTTCCGAGGCTTTATTCTTTGCTGGCCGGGAATCCTGGTTGCACCAGGACTTCCTTGACCCTTTTTGTTTATCTGGGTTACTCCTTCTTAGGATCGGGTTCGACCGACCCTGCTATCTGGCTCGGAATCTATCAAGCAGCCCATAGTAGTTGACATAGCTTTGGATCGAGCACAACCCTATGCTCGGCCCAACAATATTATTTTGGGCCCAAACATATACGTATAACACTTAAGAAATTGAATGATATGTATATTTAAGCCGATCCAATGGTCACCAATTTTTAATATTTAATTTAATATATGTATATATATATATATATAATTATAGTTTTTAGGGGTATAAAATTGTTAAATTAATATATATAATTATTATAGTATTTTTTTAGGGTTATAAAATTATAAAATTAATATTTTGCTTATCGTATATTGTGTTACCTACGTGTATACCCGAACCAACCCGTTATCTTAACATGTGCTTATTGGATTACCCGATAACGACCCGATTCGTTATCATATCGACCCAAACACCTGTTAATTTCATGTCGTGTCGTATCGGGTTATCAGGTCGTGTCAGGAATTGCCAGGCCTAGCTAAGGCCTTTTAGTGAAGGCTTTAGTGAACGAGAGTCCCTCCTAGTCCCACTAATGCTAATCCTTACTGCTAACAAACATAGAATTAGACTAGATGTTAGTCTAGTCCAATCCATTGAAGGCTAAGGAAGGCAAACAAACACGCCCTTAAAGTTATAGGTTCGAGTCCCATGTAGGGAAAACAGTTCTAACCATTAAACTCGATAACCGTAGATAATCGTCCGAATGGAACAAACTTGGGTATAGTTTGGGTATATTTTGGATAAGAAAAAAACTGTTAATATTATTCCGTTGTAGTTTTGGACATAGTTATAGGGTCTTTGATCTGTATCCATACCCAAATTCGACCTGAATAATAAATAATATAATTGTTGTATAGTATAATAGTGTGTGTGTGTGTGTGTATTTGTATGCAAGTAGGTTTTTACTATAGTGGTGGAAATGAGTTGAGCTTTCGTATGACGGAGTAGATTTAAATCTCGTCGATTGCTAATCTAACATCTAATGTAACAAAATCTATCGTTTATAAAAAAAAACAAAAAAAAAAGTAAAAATAAAAATAAAAATTTGAAAACAAAATCAAATGACTGGCTCTGAATCATCATGTCGAGTGCACTTGTTTATATAATTTTAGTAAACCTCCTTAATTTTCTGTAGAAAATATTTCAACAGTCTTTGCTATTATTTTGGATATTTTTACATTAAGGGGAGGGAGAGTTTGGCTAAACCATATAGTGGGTAGCCTAATTTGGTATCGAATTTGCCATCCATTAGATTCGAACCTAAAACCTCTCACTTCCTAATGAAGAGAAATACCACCATATCATAGTACTGAGTTGTTTTATTTTGGTCATTTTAGTGGAGAATCATGAATCCGAATTATGCAAAGATACATGAATAACAAAAAATACAAGGCTAAAATTTAGTTTTAATCCCTTACTATTAAATGATGTATGTTTATCATTTCCGTTGTTGAAATTGGTCGTCAAAATTTTATAATCCACAGCATTTATGTCTTTATCACGTATTTGTTCATAAATGTCTTTATCATTTGGTGCAAGCTTTAGCACCCTGGTTTTTATCCACTTAAGGAGCTTAGAGTTGTCTTGTGCATTAAATTAAAACACAAATATAAATGTAGGAATTTAAGGCTTTTAATCGACTTTGAATTTATGATCTCATCCCCATGAAAGCAACAATTAACATAAGTAGAATGTTAGTGCAATGGTTGGTTGGTTTGTTAAAGGGTTAAGGAAAACGGAAAGGGATCCTTTCCATATCCCTTCCACCTACTCATTCTCATCAAACAATATGGGCTTTTGAAATTTGATCAAACGGTTAAAAATACAGACCCACTTTAAAAGATAATAATTTTAGTTGTTGGATTAAGTTTCAAGGGCCCAGATTGTTTGACGAGAAGAATTAGGTGGAAGGAATCCGAAGAGGATCCCTTTTCAAGAAAAACTATTTAAGGCTTTTAATTGACTTTGAATTTATGATTTCACTCCCCATTCCCCAATCTCACATGGAACTTCAATGAATTTTTCAAGAAAATTGAACTACTCATCGTATTGTCAATTGATTTTATAGCGGAACCTCAACTTTCTTCATGGTATCAAAGCAGGTTGTCTTACGTGTGAAGCCCAACTGCCACACGCAATGCACGTCACCTTGTTTGTGTTAGATTTGAAAATTCGTCACACGTGAGGGGGCGTGTTGAGAATGAATCTCACATTAATGAGAGGAGAGACCTTGCATTGACTTATAAGTAAGTTGGACTACTACCCATATTGTCAATTGATTTTATGGTGGAATCTCAACTTTCTTTAGTCTGAACATATATTGATCGCATGATTGCTATGATTTCTTAATGTCGACCGCTATGATCGCTTGATTTCAACCGTGGTGACCGCTCGATGGCACTCACTCTTGCTTGGTGTTAATTTGGACGATGATCAATGACACGTATCTGGCTGGCCATTTGATATCCATGCTCTAGCTAAGGGGACTAAACTAATGAAAGGAGTTCATTTTCTTTTTACCAAATAATATCATAGAATTACCTGAAATTACTAATACAGTAAGTTCCAAATCCTCAATGCCTTGGATGTGCAAAAACTCTTAATTTTGCTAATCATCCTGTCAGGTAAATTAGTAATATAATGCATGAATTTAATAGTTTCTGTGATGAAATTACATAGAAGTAATGATATGCATAAATTTGATCAGAGAAAAGTGCTCTGATGTGATTATTATTTGACTAGAAAATGGATGATGCTAAATGAGGGGGCATAAGATGACAGAACAGCATCAAAGAAACCATCACAGAATAGGTTTTTTTTTTTTTTTCTTTTAACTTTCAATTGCAAATGAAGAACACAAAACCAACATTGCCCTACAACAAAAGACTAAACCGGCACAAAAGCATGAAGATTAAGCAACATGATCAAACAAAATCACCATGAAAATTCGAAAACGTCTACTGGATAGTGCAATAGAAATGCGATTTAGAAGAAGCCTAATTAAACTGCTTATGAAGATTAAGCAACATGATCAAACCAAATCACCATGAAAAGTAGAAAAAGTCTACCCGATAATGCTATAGAAATACGATTAAGAAGCCTATTTAAACCGCATCAGTTGCATTTTCTTGCTCTCCTTCACCAGATAAATCCTCCAGTGATTTTCCCTTTGATTCAGGCACCAAGAAGGTAAATAACAGCCCTAGCAAGTTGACCACACCCAAAATTATAAGGGAGTTCCTCACCCCAATCCCCTTTTCTGCGTACTGAAATCCGAAAGCGCCAACCATTGCCCCAGCCTTCCCCCACGCAGCTGATATACCGTGACATGTGGACCTTAACCTTGCTGGGAAAATCTCTGCAGGCACCACAAATGTCGTGGCATTTGGACCGAAATTGGCGAAGAAGAAGGTCAACGAGTACATCACAACAAAACCTACTCGGTTTTCTTTTAGTGTCCAGTGTTGATAAGGAATGGCTAATGCAAACATGAAAACAGTCATGAAGAAAAACCCCATTATTTGAATTGAGAACCGTCCAATCCTGTCGATGAATGCCACGGTGAACCAGTACCCTGGACGGTGCTGCAAAGCGCGATAAGGGTTTGTGCTCTGGCGATTCTGAAGACTTCTTCGAGTGCACTCATGGTCTTTGCCTTTGGAATCCAACCAATGGCACTGAAGATATCCTTTTGAAATAGATTCTGGCTGTAGAAGGCAATGTCAAGCAAGAACCATGTGCTGGTAGTTCCGAGCAAGTGAACACCATGACGCCGAAGAAATTCCTTTGAGAAAAGACCAAAATCATTCCCTCCTTGCTCAATGTTCTCTTGTTCTTCTTCTACTTCGACCTGCAAAACTTTTGACATATCAGCAGCAGCCTGCTTGGCATTCTTGGCCACCAAGGCCGTGTACCGAGCAGTCTCAGGCATTTTTGCACGCCAGTAATAAGTCATCAGAGCTGGGATAGCACCAAACATCAAAATAATGCGCCAAACATAATCGGCTTCAGGGAAAATAGAAGCAGCTGGATCAACTTCGTAAGATGGTGCAGGAAATCGTGCCTTAAAAGCTGCAGACACAATAATTGCAACCGTTCCACCAGCCAAAATCCCAAAACCCTGCATAGCAAACACCGCAGCAATGAAGGCTCCACGAGTCTTTTTATTTGCGTACTCAGACATGATAGTGGCAGAAAGAGGGTAGTCACCACCAATGCCAAGGCCTAACCAGAACCTGAAAAAACAGAGTGTTGAAATCACTGCCTTGGGCTCTCTACCAAATGAGAGGCCGGAGGCAACAGAGCAAATGACCATGACCATAAGGACCATGCCATAGACTCGTTTTCTGCCCAATTTGTCACCAAGCCAGCCAAAGAAGAGCTGGCCAGTTAGGGTGCCACAGAAGGCAACACCATTGACAGCGGCCGAGACATTATGAGGCAAACTGCCTGGCTCTGCGGCTCCATGTTTCTGGTAATAAATGCGGCCGAGCAATTTTGTGACAAGGGAAATGCAGAAGAGATCATATGCATCAGTGAAAAATCCCATGCCTGCAATCACAATTGCTGTGAAATGGTACCATTGTGTTTTGGCCACATCAAGTGCATTCAGCACCTCCAATTGATCCTTGCCCATCACTATTAGTTTAGCCCTTCTTTCAAGTTGTTGTATTCCCTTTAACTGCACAAAACCATAAAATTTTGATTCAAAAAAAGAAGGAAAATTAGAGTGTGATTCAATCAACTATGTGACACAAATTACACTGCTGCGTCTGCAACTACAACTAGTTGTATCCAGATCCCTAAATTGACAAAAATAAACGGATTTAAATATATTGTTTGCAAAACCCTATTCACATTAGGGAAAAAGAAGAAGGATTACTATGTTGTATTCTTAAAAAATAAATAAAAGTAAATGGCGGATCCAAAATTTTAACCTCGATTCAGGTTTTTGTTAACCCCACCGGCAACAGAACATTTAGATTTAAGACTTTGAAGCAGAAAACATATGAAAGAATTGTGGTTTTTTAGCATAGTATATATTGTATGATTTTTCATTTACATTTTTTTCATTTCCATGAATCAAAAACAGCTTGAAAAACTGTCACTCAGTCAAACTTTTGCCCTTTTTGATCTTCTTTCTTTTAGAACAAACGTGAAGGATAGGAATAGAAGAAACAGGAAAGAACATCCAGGAATATTCTTGTAATAAAGTTCCACGGCATACCCAAATCACCATCCAACCAACTAAAATTATATTGAATTGAACCAACTGTTTTTCACGAGCCCAAATCAACAAATATGTCACCTTGTTTCCAATTTTTATATTAGGGTTTTTAACGATGTTGGTGTTCAAATAATAATTAAAAGCTGGGGGGGGGGTTAATAATACTTGGCAAAAGAGGTTTAGAAAAAAAAAAAAAAAAAGAATCAATATTTGTTCATCAGATCAATCTCTGCAATATGTTACGATTTATTACCTTTTAGGAAAGAAAAAAAAAAGAAGATGAAAGCCTCTGAAAGATGAGGGGAAAATGTTTGAGAATTTCGGTAACCCATGATCTTGGTCAATGTTAAGAGAATTGTAGACATGAGTTAGGTTCGTGAGCCAAGCAACAGCTTACATTTGAGTTTGAATTCTCTTTCGGTAAATGAGGAATAGAATATGTCTTGTAAAAAAACATATTAGAGAGAATTTGTCATCGATTCAATACCATTCCAAATATGGAACAAATGTGATTTCAGATCCGTTCCATTACATTACATAAGCAGGCAAATGAAGATGCAAGAACACAAACAAGACAAATGAACAAAGCCAAACCATACCATAAGAGTGAAAACACAAACCTTGTATCTGAAGCCGTACACGAAGGAGAAGCAATCTTAAAAAGCGAGGCACGAAATCATGCAGAAGTACAGTATGAGGAGAACCCGTATATGCGTGTTCATGCAGCTAGTAGTGATGAAAAAACAGATCAAGTGAGAGTGAGTGGGTTAGTAGTGATGAAGAAATAGTTATGGAAATGAAACACAAGGATCAAGTTTATAAGGTCAAAGGGTAGAAATGGCTTTTTAACCAAATGTATATATCTTCAGGCAACAGAAAGAGAGATAAGGGGAAAGAGAGGAGTGAAGTATGGGAATGGGGGAAGGGAAGGGGGATTGTGTCCGTATTTATTTGCAAACAACCCTTTAAATTTTCACAGACATGTCCTGAGGAATCTTTTTTCTACCTGGCATATTCCCCTCGTCTTTCACCTTTCACCACACCTCACCTCATTTTTTGCTTTTCTACTCTTAATTAGTCAACATCTTAATATCCAAATCTTATTTTTGGATTCTAATTACTAGTATTAAGAAAATAAAACGGTATTAATCCTGTTTATTCCATACCTAAGTGTAAATAGAATTCATATTTGGACACTTTGAAATAGTGTTTGTTATTAATTTTGTACTTAGGGGAGAAGAAAGGTAAGATTCAATTTTTGTGGTGTTTTGGCCGTGTAAGTGAAATCTACCACTAGAGGTAGAAGTTCATGTTATATTCTAATACGTACTTGTGCTCTTAGCGGTTACAGTTCTTATTCAAAAGTAGAGGTTGGGCGTATCTTAAGAGTTTGAACCGAAATAAATAGAATTCTAAATTTTTATTTCTATTTGAAAAAAAAAAAAAAACTTATAAAATCTAAATCATTATTTTTTATTAGGTCAAATAATTTTTTTTTTTTTTTTTTTTTTTTTTTAAAGAAAGTATGAATGCCGGTTTACATTTCATTTCATTGACTCTGTCTAAATCAAAAGTTCCCTAATGATCATCTTATTACATTTTGTTTTAGTTGTTCGAATTTGGGTGTAGAGAGGAAAAACACTTCTCTAACTAATTTGATTAAGTCTAGTTGTGCAATTTTATCAAATTTTAATTCAACAAGATGCGATAAGTAATGTTTTAACGTCACGTCAATTAATAATTTTATCTCATTCAATGTTCATTGAATATATGCACATACAGTAGTATAACATGATAGAAATTGCACATATAATATGGAATGAAACAAAAACATACTCTAGTTATGCAGAAATGGCGGAAGCTGGATTTGGGTTGAGTTAAGTGTAATTTTGATGGCTCATGGGAGAAGAATTCTGGCTTGGGAAGCTTTGGGGTGATCGTGAGGGATGAGAATGGGCAGTTTGTTGCGGTTGCTACTAGTTATCAAATAGGACTTAATTGCCTCTCCGTTCCACGCCGAAGCTATGGCAGAAAGGAGAGCCTTTATTTTGCTACGAGAATATTGATGCGGTTGTGTTGGAGGAGATTCCACCATGGTTCTTGCTGCACTACAGCAGCATGATGACGATTCCTCCATGGCTGAATGATGCAAAACATTTTATGCACTTATTTCCTCATGTTCAATTAAATCATGCTCAATGGGAAGCAGAAAAATGTGGCACAGAGATTGGCGAGGTCGGAAATGATCCGTATACTACGTGGTTCGAGAAACCTCCCAACATGATCGAAGACCTACTGTTAGAGGATAGTAATTCCGTCTAATTTTCGTATGGCAAAATTTTATCGACCCCAATTCATTGTACCATTTCTCAAAACAATAAAATTAAAATTAAAAAAAAAAAAGGATCCTTACTAACTCACAATAACATGCTGTCAATTATGCACTGACACTCTAAAAAACTCATCAACGCTTTTCTTAATGTCTTAAATTTATTATACATCAGTAACTGATAATAAAATTTAAATTTGAATATTACATTAATTCAGTATATAGAAATTGATTACTAATGTCTTGAACTGAATCACAGAGCATTTGGTCTAGAAAATAAAGCATCTAAGTTTTTGTCTCGTGATTCATAGGATGCATGCATTGTGTTTTGATGCTTAACATAGATAAACATGCACGTCAAATACTCAAAAGTAAGCTATGATTCCAAGATGAAAGCAAGCAACTCATTAATGTCAAGAAAAATTGGACCACCTAACTTTCTGGTTCTCTTCACCATAAAAGTGAGCTCATTTAATCAACCTCGTCAGAAAGGGAAAGACATTCTTGGCTCAGCTGACAAGCCTAACGTATACATGTTTCGTTTCAAAATTGTTTTAGTCGACCTCACAATCGCATGAAAAAGAAAGTGTTTGGAATTACGTTTCAATATTTTTGTATGTGGACCAAGTTATAGGTACGCACGTATGCTTGCTAAAAGGTAAGAATATATATAGCAAATTCTGGATAATATGTAAGAAGTACTAGAGGTTGAAATTACATGCATAATGGTGATGAGGGAAAGTAAAAAGCAGGATGCATATCTTTTATCCAAGTTTATTTTGGGTAGACTCTAAACTCAAAGAAGAGAGAAAATGTCTAGCTTCACCAGTTCCCTATCAAGAGAAATTTGAATAGAGTTGTTTGACCACATTATTTTTAGTACAATTTTCACAAAGTTATAAGACTTCTTCTACCTTAGTCTTGATTAACTCATATCGAATTGAAAACGAAAATAGAAACATAAATGAAAGCAAGAAACTGAATGTAATCATTTTATGATGTAATCGAGATTACAAACTTTACAAAAGTGATTCTGGGTTGATTAGCCAATCTACATAGCTTGAAAAGTAAATAGACTTAAAAATGTAAAGAAAGCAATAAACTCTAGCCAGATTCAGGCCATGTAGGATATGATGTTGTTAGAGGAGTCCACCAAAGTTAGGATATTAGACTAGACTGGACTGAGTAGGAAACATTGCCCAAAGACATGATCGTGGTGGTTAGAATTGCACATCAACCAAACCATACCATAGGGTGGCAGAGCCATAAAAAATTTAGATCTCAGACATCATAGGCAGTATATGCTTAAAATGAAGGCGTTGGATTGTAGTTGAATAGCTAAAGGATTTTGCTGAGCAATTTGTTTGTATTGAAGGGAAGTTTGGTTGATTGAAGAATCACTTAAGGTTAAACGAAGAGATTTAATTTGACAAAGGTCTTCAGCTTGAAGACATCTAGGGCGTGTTTACTAATCCGTAATCAGATTGAGAGGAATTAGATCAAGGAGGAATTGGATTGAGGAGGAATTGAAATGAGGTGGAATCATAATCAGATTCCTATTAAAGTTGTTTAAGAAAACTGTTTGGAATTGGAGCAGGAATGATGTTGAGTCCATATAAGTTGTTTACTTATTCAGTTGAATCGGAATGAAAACTAGGTTGATTACTATATTACCCTTACATAAATAATTTATTTTCATATAAATTTATTGGAATTGATATATATTTCATATCATATTAATTCATAAAATAATCGAAGAAGCTCTTCTTAAGGTACTATTTATATAAATAAAAAATAAAAAAAACCAGCACCTCATCCCCTTCCTCCCGATGTCCCAGCATCCTCATCTCCTCCCTTTCTTCAATCCTATCTTTCCCCAACCCCGACACCCTTCCCACGACCACCCATATTCATAGGTCCTCCACTCCTCCTCCCTTCCATCCATATCCTCTTCTTCCCTAGCCCCCACAACCATCACACCACTCCCGAATTCGCAGATTCACATGCATCCTCATCTGTCTCTCTCATTCTTAAATTCTGTAAACGACGAGGAGAACTGGGGTTCAGGTGTGGTCGAAGCCGACGCTCTTCCTTGGAAAATTGGTGAGACTGGAGAATAGAGCGATATGGGTATCTCTGTTGGATTTGGTGATGAAGTTTGTAAGGTTGTTTTGAAATTAAGAAAATAAATTAGGGTAATTTTGGAACAAAACTTTGATTCCTGGAGGACTCCCCTTCAAGGAATCCAAATACCAAGTATTATTAGAGAATCTGACTTCGAGTAAAATCGGAGTTTGATTTCAGAAATGAGCTGGGTCCCATTCCATTTTTCCCCTGATTTTCATTCTTCTAGTGGTAGTAAACACTTGAATTCCTCGAATTGTGTGCAATTCCCATTCCCCACGTCCCATTCTCTTTCGTAAACACGCCCCTAATTCTATTTATAAGCAGCTGGTGAAGAGCACCGTCAATTATATCGTTGAGCTAGAGTAGGAGTAGATTGGTCATTTGATGCTGACAATGACTGCAATTCGTGGTTGGTAGACTTCTATTGAGATTTACAGCATATCGAATGATTGTTGTGGTGACATCAGTCAATTTGGTGATGCATTCCTGGTCATTTAGGAAGTGAGAGATCTCCGGGTATGGTTGACCATGTGGCAGAGGGCTTCGGTGAAGTTCGCATCCAAGCCCTCATTCTAACCATTTAGTTAATAAGTCAGTTGGGCCGTAGTTTTTAGATTAGCCACATCAACCTCGCTCATGTTTATTTGACATGGAAAGCAGTCCATAAGTGTGATTTTTTTCGGCCTGGCTGCACCTCCTCAATAGCTTGGAGTAGCCCACTAGAGTTACAGAAAGCCCAAGGAAGAAATCGGTTTGGGTCACACCAATCTTTCTCCAAAGCCAGCATATTAACAACTATAGTAAGTGTGACATTTGTAAACGGACATGGATTGTCTATCCTTTCACTTCTGATGTCCTTCCGTGCCCTTCTATTTGTGTGATCACGGTTAAGTTACTTCCATATTTTATATTACTATTCATTTTTGTCTTATTATTTCTATAAAAATAATAATATAAAATGTTGACGTGGTTTAACTGTGATCACACAAAACAAAAAGGCACGGAAGGACACCGAAAGTGGGAGGGCAAACAATCCTTTGTAAACTGGGTCTCTTAGGTATTCGGGTGCCACATGTGGCCCAAATTAGGACGTGTCTCAAATTGTGTGGCTATGCAATTTCTATACCGTGAGCTGTCCTGACAAGATGGTCATGGGAGACAGATCCTGCAACTGTGTTTTCCTAAAGGATTAAGGCCATGTGGCAGGGAACTTGGCAGACTCTTTGTCCTTCATTCTTGCTAAAAATGTATTCGCCAGAATATCCGCCTCCATAGTCGGCAGGCCGTAGAAACCGATGTCTCTACTCTCCCAGTCGCCAGCGGCTCTCATTCGCTTTGGTCGCCAAATAAGCTCGCTGTGGTGGAAAGAGATAAGAGCTTACCCTGAGGAGGTTTCAACCCTGATAGATTCACCGTATCTTTTTTCACCCGATGGCAATGGAGGTGCAGGCTGAGAGCAACCACT